AAATAGTGAAACGCCCTCGTCTATAGTCAGGTCCAAGTCGGGGAATGTGTACTTGCGGGCACATTTTCTTACTAAGTGACCCAACGATGGGAACATTCGAATGCCTTCTTTGAAAGCGCAATGTAAGTCATTTCAGAAATCGCTTCATAGCAGAGCTTGTTATTGTATTTTGCTAAAACAATATCGATTTCTTCTTGCACTTTTTGTTGCTCCTCAGGATTGTATGCAAGTTCATGCAGCGTATAGCTTGTAGAGGATGACGAAGTTTCGAATCCCGCACCGAAGAAGACCATAATTTGAGCCGTAATTAATTCTTCGGTCAACTCCAAAGATACTTCTTCAGGCATGCCATTCGATTTCATTATTTCTATAGATTGACCAACTATTTTTCCTTTTTTCCTATATTCCAAAAGAAGATCGACAAAGTCGTGTCTACCAGATGGTTCGTAATTTCTCTTTTCCAGAATAGTTTTGACAAGGGCGTTCGCGTCTTTTTCTATTTTGCTAAAAATTCTAAAATGTTTGCATGCTTCAGGAAACATCTCTTTGAGCTTTTGTTTAATAATTTGACTGACTTCAAATTTAAAAATATCCATACCGAGTTTTCTAAAAGAGGAATTTTCCGTAGTAAGAGAATCCATATCGAGTCCGAAGCCACAAGCACCAATGAAATCAGTAGTATACCGCGCCATTATTTCCCGAGAGTCCAGAACTCGTCCAGTCGGTGGAGCGTTGATTGCGTGCGTTTGCATCCGCTCAGCACGCTCCACAATGAGCGGGAACATCGCCTTCAGTTTGCCGCTGGTAAACGCGGGAGTCATGCGCTGCCTCAATAGCTTCCAGAGATCGCCTTCAGCAAGGAAAAGATTTTTTGCCATGGGCTCAATAACCGTTTTGTGAGTATTAATACCTCTCAAATGAAAATTACCAAAATCTGAGACGAGGACGCGTTTTATAATTTCTGGATCTCTCAAGACAAGTTCTGGACGCGTCGCTCGATAAAATCCTACGACTCTTTCCTTCGGGTATTTCCAGTACATTTCCACGCCAATTTGTGTCATACTTTTCTGCCATAAGTACATACGCGAATTGTTGCCGAAAAATGGTATAGGCTTGTCATGTTTTATTCCTTTCTTCTCCCAATATTTGAACGTTCTTGTACCGTAGAGGTACAGTGCGACGCACAACACGAACACGACAGCCAGGGTCAACATGGTGGAGAGATAGCCAGTCGTAAACGCTCCGCGAGCTTATATAGCACGAAATTCGATAACAAGTAGATAACAACAGTAGAAATAATTTTAAAATGAACTGAATTATTTTACTAATGTTATAAATATAAATGTTAAGCTAGCCGACCCATTTCTGCAACAAAAGTTATTGTGTCTTTCACTGTTAAAATTTATTTAACTTTATAACATTAAGGTTTAGGTGCGTCCAAATTTAGTTCGTCAAACCGCACACCATGTAGACGGAGTTGTCGCGCGCGGTAACTACATCACTACCGCAATCTAACGTGCCACCAGAAGAATCACTGTCGGTTTTTTCGACTTCATCAGCATCATTGCAGCTATAGCCATCGACTTGCGCGCTATTGGGGTGGTTGTATTGTTGGTGAATTGACTGACGCGACGAAAACCTCAAAATAGACAACGAAAAGTGTCGTCCACTAATGCTCGTTTTACGCTAATATTTTTTTCTGGAACAACAAATCCTCCCAATACAGTAATAAAACGCTAAGGCATATGAAGCATGGGTAGAAATTGGTTCAAATAATATTTATTCACAAAGGCTTTTTTTGATATTTTTTTGTAGAAGCTGCTATTTGTAAAATTATTGAACATCTTCCTTGCTAGTGTCTGGGATCTTTTTCTCCCTATGAGATGCTTGAACACAGGGACACCCATAGTCCTGCAGGATGGTATAATGTTAGCTCGCGCAGCAAATGAACGTCTATAATTTATACGGATCTTTACTCTAGTGTTTATTAATAATTATATATGCGTAAATTTGTATTGATCAATGTTTATTATAAGATATCAGAACGGCTTTTCGGATCTCAATGAAATTTGTCGTGGGTATAGAACACATAGACTTGTTGTAGTCTGGAAGAACACATAGACTACTATTTTTTTTAATTCCGCGCAGCCGACGTCACAGACGACAGCTAGTATAATCATTTGTGTTTATTTAGGTACATGTGTAATGTGTTAGAGTATATTTGGTAGTCATAAGGATATTATATTAAATTGAAGGTTACAAGTGGCCTCGGCGGTGTGCAAAGTAAGTAGGTACGTATGTATAAGTAAGCCTTCACTTAGTATTATGTTATTTAGTATGCAGATTGCTACACCAACCAACTACTATTTCAAATGTTAGTTTTTTGCATATTGATCAGAACTTCAAGGCAGTCACATGGATATGAATTACTATAGTTATGTTATACTAGCTGTCGCCCGCGACTACGTCCGCGCGGAATTAAATAAACTTACTTAGTAGCCTATATGTTCTTCCAGACTATTTTCTTATCTATCAAAGCTATCTTTATCAATAAATTTCAGCGAAATCCCTTCAGCTGTTAAGAAAATTCCTTCTAATAAACATTCATTCATTCATTCAGCGAAACTTTCTCTATTATAATATTTGTAAGATTAATTAATAAACGCCTACTATTAAAATACAGTCAAAGATTTGTAATTACATCCACATTTTGTATATAATATTAATTTGACCAACGAAAGTAAAGGAGCAAATTAAATAAACCGTTTAACAATAATATCCTTTCTATCACTAACTTTACATTCGTTAAATACCAACATCTTGGAGATATATAAAATTAACTAATAATAATGTAAATGTTTACAATTATTGCAACGTCATTATAATTCTAAAATCTTAGCATCATTACTGATAACATAGAAGTATCTACTACCTAACAACTATAATGTGATATGTTACTGTATATGTTAGAACTACGGCCAGTACTAACATTGACTAATTTTAAATAAAAACTTGAACAATTTTTCGGTATTATACTAATAGAAACTTATAGATTCAGGCCCATCGGGGCCCTTCATCAGGGTGAGTGGGACTGGCGTTGTTTCGAGTCCGCGAAACTAGTCGGGTCCTGGCACCGGACTAACATACGTGAGTGTTTTAGCCGTTTTTATATAAGATTAATAATAATAATAATAATAATTTATTTAAAACAAAGTACACATAAAAATATACATAAGTTGTTGGAGATTGGTTATACTTTTCTTGTCATGATCAGTAGAAGTTTTTATTCCAAATTGTATATAATCCCCCATCAAGCCTTTAGTATGCTAGCCATGGTAAAATCTCTCGAACTCCACCTTTAGATTAGGATGAGCAACATTTGGGGCGCAGGTTCAACCGAGTACCGCGAAAACTTCTCCGGAAGACCCGATTTGGACTTCATCAGACCGGAAAAAAAAACAAATCAATAAAAACTAGATAAGCAACGGATTTAATATTGTGCAATCGATTCCAATAGTAAGTAGTAATTGTACGGTCAGCGTAACGTTTCACTGCGTTTTGTAATTAAATTTCAACTCAAATAGTTGATTATATTTTATATTATTTTTCTGTAAAATAGCATTTTATGCAAATTTCAATCACTTGAATGCACATCGTATATTGAACTATTAAAATCCTATTCAGAATGTCAATAGAAGCTTATAGAAGTTTTCAAGCACTGACTCTTGTATTTGCCGTTGTGGGTAACGACATAGAACTAAGCACAAGTATAGATTACTCGCAGCTGGCAAAAGAAGCTGAAAATAATAAAAATGACTTAATAGGATTTCTAAATCAAAAAACGATTCGTGATAAATATAAAGAATTGTATTCAACATTGTTAAACAACTTGATGGGTAAGATTGTTAACGATTGTTGATTGTTAGGTTAAAAATTCACCTCGATCGCAAAAATCTGTTCATTACTCGGAACACCCAACAAAAGCAATTATTACAATTTTATAAATGGTATTGGAACAGATAAAGGACAAACAGGATTATGTTAAATCTCTCAAACACCTATTAAAACAACTAGGCATTTAATTCATCAAGTTAATATTAATAAAATTAACAGGCATTCTACAAAAATCTAGCACTATATTTCTTAGAAAATCATTTATTTTTACAGGATCTCGCCGTACAGGTAAGGATTAAAATCATTTTCTGTTTTGCAAGTAAAGAAGTGCTTATTTTAATAGCTTACACATTCTTCTGTTTCCATTTGAACACACTTAGGGTCCACTCGGCGCATTGTGTCTGGGCAGAATACCTCGATTGCGGCAGTGCCGTGGCAGGTGTCGCTGCGAGAGAAAACCTATCCCATCTGCGGCGGCTCCATCATCACCGACCTATGGCTGCTCACGGCCGCGCATTGCCTCATCAAGTACCTCCGCTAAGCGCTCTCCCCTCTTCACCCAGCTTTATGAATCTATGTTACAGGAAAGCATGGTCGAAACAAAACAACTACATGCCTCCTACAGTACTTACTAACAAAGAACTTTTATAAAGTCGAACTAACAATAAAATAGATTCGAGACTATAGTTAACTAGCTTTCATATATTATATTGTGGCCGCTAAATATAATAAATAATTTGAACCCTCCTTGAAAAGATTGTCTCCTTCAATATCGTCAGGTCGCATGCTAGTGAACTGAGCGTCCGTCTGGGCTCGTCGTGGAAGACCCACGGGGGCGAGATGTACGATGTAAAGCATTGCTTCGTTCACCCGCGCTACGCCAGTAAGACGAAGAGCAACGACGTCGGCCTCGTGCGGTTGTACGCGCCTCTTCGCTTCTCGGCGCGCGTGTTGCCCATAGGACTCGTTGCCAAGGAGACCAAACTGTTAGCCGATCAACCCGCTATAGTGTCGGGATGGGGCAAACTGCGCGTAATTTATTTTCTTAAAAATAAGTTAAATTTATCTTATTTTTCATGAAGCATGTACGCTTTAGCATCCAAGAGTATATTTCATTCTCTTCGAGGTGAGATTATGTTGAAACAATGCTAACAATGTACCAGGAAGGCGGGCCCAGTGCGACATACCTCCAGTCCTCCACCATAAAGACTATCGCGATGAAGCTGTGCCGGCGCTCGGGGCTCGATAGAAAGTCAATCGATCCAGCGTCCATGTTCTGCGCTGGCTCTTTCAGCCAACCTTCGCCGGACGCCTGTCAGGTATGACATAGCCCCTCAGGTCTTGCTCAGCCATTTCGGATAATTTGTTTACTTCATAATTTAAATATGCTGTTAATAATATGCTTATAAACCCGAAAGGTATTTAAGGCTTTGAGTAATGGACCAAATAGATGCACAATAACTTCACTGGGATGTAGATAGTATGCCGAGACGGATGGCCACACAATCCCCGTTCACCTTGTCAAGTGAGGTGCAGTACGTTTATTTGACCTTCTTCAGTTAAATGTAAATTAATTAACCCTTAGGGAGATAGCGGAGGGCCAATAGTCCAAGACGGTGTGCTTATAGGAGTGGTGTCGTGGGGCCTGGGCTGCGCGCGAGGGAACTTCCCCGGAGTCTACGCTAGACTTTCCAACCCCGTTATATGGGATTGGCTGCAGAATCATTTTACGAATAAATCGATTAATGAATATAATAAATTATTGTAACTTGCAAACTTTCTTAAAACGCTTTACTGAAACATTATATTTCAAATCAGTTATATTTCACCGTTAAGGAATATACAGATTTGGTTCAACTTAACATGGGTCTTTAAACGTTGTTGCGCCTGTGAATTCTTAGCGACTGAAACTTTAGACTCAAGAATAGGTACGTGTACTTTATTAGTATTAAAATAAAATAATATTGATTAGATAGATTTCATAATAAAATTTTAATATCTCTTCGTCCACGTGAATAAACATGACTTGTAAAATACGTCTTAATCGCTAAGATTCATCAACGACGTAAAACAAATAAACTGCGAATCGAACGACACCTAACAAAATCAATACAAAAATGCAGCTATAAAAATATAACTTAATTAACAACGTTTCGAAGTTAACAGTGCAATAATGCGCTCTAATTTTTCATCAAATCAATTAAAGTAAAAACTGGCGACTTAGCACTACCACTGGAACACTTTGCACTATATTAGAAGAAGGGTCAACCCTAGTACGCAGCGTTTTGCGGCGCGGGTTCAACCGAGTTGCGCGATAGCTCCAATCGTAGCATCAGAGTTCAAGCGGCGTATAGCTCGTGGAAAAGAATGAAACTCGCTCCGAACAACATTTCAGTCGCCATGAGTTTGACCAACAAAAAATAACATTTTACTAACAACTATTATTCTTATTTTATAAGAAACGTTGAGTTTATCAATTTAATTAATTTACAATTGTAACATATTGTCGGTTTAAGTTTCACTTTTAGATGTTGAAATCTCATTGGTCGCTCTTACGTTAGTACTTTTGGTGATGACAGCTGTCTTAATCACAAAAATAAAATAAAAATTTCTGTTACAATTCTGTCATAACTTTCGAACTACGAAGGTGTACAGCTGTGCGTTATGTTCAAGTTCCATAAATAATAAGTTGAGCAAGCGTATAAATGTATTCAGTTATCTTGGCGACTCTTAACTTCACTGCGCAAAACACAATATTAGTTGTGGCGGGATGCGGGGGGCATTACGCAACGCGCACATGACCTTGGGCCGCCGAGATTATTGAAAAAACTAATAAGTGTATTAGATATAATTTTAATAAAATAATACGCGTCTCTACTAAAACTTAGGGCCAAAGATGCACTTATAGACGCGTATTCGTAATAATTACCAAACAAAATATAATATTACATAGGTGAGGATAGTATTATACCATAGATAAAATCATTGCTTGCATGTTTTTTTATTATTTTATTTAAATTAAAATTTAAAATATTTCTAAAATTAAATTCACTAAATATAACCCGACATTCAACTATATAACATTTTTAAAGCAATTAAATAGATTAACAACATATTTTTTAAAAGTTAATTTGCACTGTTAATAATATAAAATCAATGATTAACAACATAAACCAAATATCGTAACAGTTCTAACACCTCATTTCCACTGAATAGCCGAGCGACTCTATTCACGTGCGACTTGTGTTTCTATGGCATAGACTAGTGAAAAGGGGGTCTAAATCTACATAAGTCATTATTGAACAACACAAGCCTCTTCCCGTCATTTCTTTATATTATCGAGTTAGTAAAACTGTCGTGTAACCGTGGCTCCACTACCGAAACAACGACAAAAACATCTTGGGCGTCTTATTCTTTGTGAAGGAAACGGAGATATCAAGATGTTTCGTTCAGGTGTTTCGGCAGTGGGAACTGACAGTAATACTAGAATTGTTTCTGTTCAACTTGTCAGATCGTAAGCAGTGATCAATGGAAGAAGTTCCTTTATATTGTCAACTTGTGCGCTTAAACGATTCATTAATTAGGCACCACGAGAAGGAAGATCAGCGTAAAAGCAACAAGATATTAATTTCTTAACATAAATATACACTTATTTGTATAAATTCGCGTTCATGGATCACCGTATATACACCTAGTATATATAATTTAAACTAACATCGATGAAATATGGAGTATGGACAAGAGAAGTGAGCTCGGAGCGCGCCAAATAAAATGTAAACTCTGTCTCATCTGACTCGTGACGGTCGCTACAGTTCTCTTTTTAAAACATAACAAAGCATTTACTTTCGATAAGGTACATATTTATCCTATTGAAATGAAATGAATACGTTTGATTTCCAATACTTTTAACATTAATAATACTTAATCTTATTGTAACGTTTACATACATAACGAAAAACTTGAACTTTTATTATATTTGTATGACTATATTTCTATCAAATTTTGTCTATTACAGAAGTAAAGTTCATATGAAATTATCTTATCAAATATATTTACATTATCGTTAGTGCAAGTACACAAGTACGCAAGTACACAAGTACACAAGTACACAAGTACACAAGTACACAAGTACACACAAGTGAAAGTATTCGCATACTTCAATCAACGTGTTTTTTCATTTACCTAAAACTTATAATATATTTCACTAAAACACTCTTTAAGGTTAACCTCCAAACAATTATGTACTTGTCTTTAACTTTTCTCTTAACTATCACTGGGAGTCAAGTTTCACATCGTCAAAAGCATTTACAATGACCATAGATATGGCGGGACTAAGACAGACACATGGGGCCGGGCACAGTAGCAGATGCCAGCAGCAGCAAGGGCGACAGTAACAGCGGCAGAGGGCGGTGGAGGCCGGCGGAGAGCGCGCGGCCCGCCGAGGCCTAGGCCTTCCTCTGCGGGGGGCGGCGCAGCAGGTGCAGCGGGTCCGTCCTGTAGCGCGCGAACAGCTCCCGCTTGAAGGTCTCGAAGTGCTTCCTGTTCTTCTCGTTCTGCTTCTCCCGCCACAGGGGGCGCGAGCGGCGCGCCTGAAGCCCCCAGTGGATCGTGAAGATCGGCGACAGCACGCGGAACTGGTACCCGATCAGAAACATCTCGTACACCTGGACAACATGCACACACATTACTACATTTATATATTTAAGACCATTCTTGATATACAATCTTCGTACATAGGAAAAAACATTATTAACATCTATGTGAATTTAAGTTTTTAGAATTTTAAGGTATTACATATACTTATATTTCGTTTAAATTGTCTTAAAGTAATAAATTATTAAATCCTCTTTGAGTATAGACTTGTTAACTCATTACCTTATTTTTAAGACTCGCACATCAGGCACATGACATCGGTAACAAATAATTGAACCACCTTATCATATAAAAGAGGATCTTAAAAAACTCCGCTATGATATCACAAAAAAAATTGAAAAACGATCAAATTCTTAAAATTTTATTCAAAAGTTAATAAAAAAATAAATAACGGCAGTCGGACACGGGAATGCGAGGGCAACATTTATTTATATCACAGACTTGCTAAGCTTGTATGAATCGTGTGCGTATGGAGATAGAGTGGAATTCGGTTCGGCATCAGAGTCCGGTGTTCTGCGTGACCCAGTCCCGGAGCGCGGCGAGGTTCGTGAAGACGGTGGGGGAGAGCGGCAGCGCGCAGCCTCGCGCGAACGACACCACCCCGTACACAGTGCCGCGGAACACCGCAGGACCGCCGGAGTCACCCTGCACACACACACACACACACATGCACATACATCACTCAACTAATGTCATTCAGGATTCCACGAGGAAAACCACTTTCTTTGGTATCACATTATTATTCTATGACAATCCTATTTGATGCCACGACCAAATTCGTTTAATCTTGTGGCCTCAAAACCCTCCGTTTTATTCAGGAAAGAAATTTTAGGAGCACGCGATCTCTCGCCGCTGCAGACGTGCAGCAGTCTCTACCTGGCAGGAGGAGACGCCGCCGATGAGGAAGTGTCCGCCGCAGAACATGTTGTCTGTGAGGGCGTCCCCGTAGGAGAGCCGGCACAGCCAGTGCGGCACCACGGGCACCCGCGCCTCCATCATGATGCGCGGGATGCGTCGCCCGCGCGGCTGAACACGAAACATTCAATCTCTTACATGCTGTCTACTATCTTATGTGGATCTTGCAATAAGTTAAATAAACTACTCATATAACAAAATTAAGATCTTCGTCGTTAACTGCATTCCGGTCCAAACGTGACTAGTTCGCTAGTGACGTCTTGCTAGTTCAGCACTAGTACGGACTAGTAAGTTTTTATGACAGTTATCATAATCGAAAAAATACAGAAAGACAAGAGATAGAGTCAAGTATTCTATTTAAGGTGAATCGGAATATGGTATTGTATGATATAAAAGTAAAAAGTATATGGGGTCTAACAGCAGTGAGCCCCCATCCGGTGACGGTGAGCCGGACGAGGGGCACGGGCTGGCGCGGCTGCGGGAGGCGGACGGCGCGCACGGCGTTGCTGAAGACGAGGGGACGCGCCAGGCGCAGCGCGGCGATGTCGTTGTCGAAGCGCGGCCGGCCGTACTGCGCGTGCACGGTCACGTTGGCCACGCCCACGATGCGCCCGCCCGAGTCCCGCCGCGTGCTGCCCACGCGCAGCCGGATAGCGGACGCCGCGGTACTGTACAAACCGTAACAATCTAAAACCTACGGGAACTTTGAGGATTTCATATTACGGAATGCGTTATTGTTTCTTTGCATATTACCTATTCCGACTGCCTCGGTAATATTAATGGTTAGCAAGTGTACTTAATTTACAGAATTTGAACCAAGGAAAAATATTAAACTAATCCAAATTCCAATGTTTTTTGTTAAGACTTTCCTGACAAGTGAGTCCTAAAAGTACAAAGTTAATTACATAGAAAAGTTGAGTCATGATTCGTTGTATAAAAGTAGTAACAAAATGTATTTTTCTCAGTTACCGTTATAAGGCTAATATTTATTTTTATTGTGCAGCCAATATCCGCCCCGGCTTCGGCCGGGTGGCAAAGGCTATACATCTGATCTCTTTTCTGTTATATCAGCAGTACCCTGCCCGGTGACATTCCGTCGCTTATCGGTTCGACGATTTATCGGTAGCGCGTATTGTTCGTGATCGTGATATCTTCCTCCTAAACAATTTATCAGAATTATATATAGTAAGACAATTTTAATCTAAATAAAATTTCCCTGATAACGAACACATTTATTTTAAATACCGAAAAAATATCACTGCAAATAAATATTTTGAATTCCTTATTCTAAAGCAGAAGGTGGTTATTGTGACAGAACCGTACGGTTTAGATAGTTAAGTCAAAAATGGAAATTTCAGAGGTTCAATTACAATGAATTGTGTACACTAACGATCCGGAATACATAACCTACACGATGGTGTTAGCCGTATTTTGATCTGATTCATAGTTTAGCAGAATATTTGAGTCAAACAGAGGTCACTAAAAGCGACATTCATTTATAAGATTTAGATAAGGGTGTTTATCCAGTGTGACCAATAAAATGCCTTGTAACGATGACTGTCAAATATATTATAACAAACTGTTTTCATTAACTTAATTAACCTTGACGACAAACCAAGTAGAAATACAAACTATGTTATGTGAATATTTACTCAAGATAATGTTTCATCCTTATTAAAAGCGCGTCCAGTTTTTTACGCGAAGGTTGCATAAAAATGTGAAGATGCTTCCTCTTCGTTTAAAGGTAGGCAACGCATCTTAAATTGCGGATGAATTCAGCGAATTTAGTTGGCCGTTTGAGCGTCTGCCACTTTAGGATATAACAATATAGACGTCGTACAAATGTTTAAAAAAAACTTACTTTTGGACGCAGTGGGCGGCTGTCAGCACGTAGTCTGGACTAATGATGAAACCTCCACAGAAGGAGTTGCCGTTCATCACCATGGACACCTGGTAGGGGTGCCTCGTCACAGAGCTGGGTCTACCGCCGATAATCTGCCCGCTGAGCTCAGGGCAAGCTTCCTGCAGGTCTACATCTTGCAGTTCCACCTCCGTGCTCGGTTTGTCCCCCTCCTCTGCACAACATTCTCCTTCCACCGTCTCCTGAAGATCTACGATTATACTTTGTTATTAGAATCTACTTAATATGTAAAATGTTTACTGTTTTTATCTTAAGCTGCAGCAAAGTAAAAGTTCAATAATTCTTGCACAACTAGAAATCTAAGCAGACTTTATAAATAAAGGTTTCATTTCAAAACAGATATTTATCTACAGTCGAAATAAAATTTGACAAGACAACTTGGTTATTGTTGTATTGATAAACGAATCTAACGGAAACAAAACTGCGAAACGATGTTAAAAATTAGCATATCATAGGCAAAAAATGCAAACAAACGACTTACCTGCGGTAGATATGAGACAAAGGAATAGGCAGACAAGTGGCCGCAACATTGCTGGCAAAGTGCAGCTGCAGTTGACAATGGACTAACAGCAGCCGCACCGGCGACGTCGGAGGCGTCCCAATTCGCAACACTTGCACAACCACAATTGACCGCAATTGGAAATTTCTCACGCTCAATATCCACGGTCGCGACCTTTTTGTTACTGGTTCAACATAGCCTCGGAGACCTCTGACTAACTCGACAAATCTCTTTTTAATAACGATAGGTTCATTTTTTACCTTAACAAGTTCCTTGTTTAATAAAGTGGCAAACGAGCTAGCGGCCACCATATTCCCCCTTACGCTACCCTGCTAATTCGCCGTGCGCATTCATGATAAGAAAAGGATAGGTAGAAGAAGCGGACAAAAATCAGCCTCCGGCATGCACTTTCGTACGAAGAAATGCGGAGTAACTTCCAATTCAAGTCTGTTTTTTGTGTGGTCGTAGTATTTCATCGGTCGAGCCTGCCCATTAGTGCAATAGATGTTGTTATTGCGGGCTTTGCCATTGTTAGTAATTAAAATTAGATGGTGTTCATTTCTTAAGTAAAATCCCTGAAGAGGTAAAGGTTTACAAGTAGTAAAATTAATCTATGCCCAGTAGTCATTAAAAAGTGTGATAACAGCCGTGTCCAGGAGCGGAGCCATGAGTCATCGACCTTCACCCGTTGAAAGATTTGACAGTACAAAGTACAAACTCTGAGCGAGTTAACTCATATATTATGTTTGTCGACGAATCAATCATCATCGTTGCAAGATTAATAATTTACTTACGTCATATATTTTATAAATAAACCGTATCGTATTCTATTTAAATAGTTACACTACAACAAACAACGTGATATGAAAGTAAATGAAGTCGGCTAAAAATATGAAAAATTGTTTTATATCCTATATTTTTGTATTAGTGTTCCTCGTTCCAGTTAAATATATTTTATGTTATTTGCAGCAAATATTAAGGTATGAATATATTTCCATTTCCGCTAACGCTTATAACTCGACAGCGGCACAAGGTAAAGTTTTATATTCAATTTTATTGAACATAAATCGCGACAACTGTGTCAATAACAATACTTTACGAGCGTCGCCGTATTGTAGAGTTTCTCGACCGCGCGCAGCCACCGCTGTCGGCGAGCGAGAAAATTCTACCGTCAGAGACACTGGGCGTTTTGAAACGCGCGTTTTAATAGTACCAAACATACACATACATCTGACGTGTTATCATCTGTAGGGAAGTTGTATGAAATTCGATAGTTCTGAAAATGCGCGTTTGTATCACCCGTTCTAGCCAGGTCTCCCTTCGGAGCCGAGCTTATTTGTAGCGATAATTCTTTTTACTGTCCGATAAAATGTTTTTGATCTCCGTTTGACCCATTTCAAAGGAATTTATGTTCCGGTCGAATTGTGCTATACGGATTCGAAAATCTTAAACTAGTTTACGATAATAATTAAAATAGTATTGTCAAATATAATCAGTAATGACTTCACTGACAAAATTTAATTTCGTTGACTGCAAAAATTAAACAAATTATAAAAACATTAATTATAAAATTATAAAAACTGTGCAAATACTGTGAGCTTAAATTTCTTATTCATAAAGATATGCAAACGTTGTTAAGTTTGACAACAATGGGAACAGGAATAATGAAGATCTTAGGATTAGATGAATATTTTGCCGGCTCTTTTCCTCTGTCCTTAATTTAAATTGTAAATTCTCAAAAATCACTTAAACTTTGCTGCCAACAGTCGCTAATGTTGCCCTCCGAGCTGACTATTGTATTGCTCGAGATTATCAACAACTGCGATTGTACCAAGTTTTAACCTAACCTCTAAAAAGTTGTAGATTTCAAAAAATAAGTTATTTCATTTATTTACTTTTAAACTTTGTTTTACTGACAAAATTAACAGCTAATGTTTTAACTCGTCCCTGACTGAATAATATATTCCAAATTATAGTATACCTATACTATAAATATTTGGCAAATGCTTTGGTTTCGGAAAACTTCACAGAGAATAAGAAATATCTACATTAATAATATTAGTAATACACAACACGATTGTCGGATATCTAATTACAAGACATCGCGGTGTCAGCATAAAAATAACCCGCGTGCCGAGTGCTGCTGCCGAACCGAGCTGAGTTCACTGCTGCCTGGGTTACGGTTATTTATGTGACCGCGGCCAACGGCAGCGCAGACGGCAGCGGCTGTGCCATCGTCCACTAGCACCACTTGATCTGCCCCAACATTTCGAACGAATTCATATTATTTTGCAAATATAATAAATACACTCTCCTATTTAGTTTAATTTTAATAATAATAACGTAACCTAACCTATCTTCAATTTAACTATGTACTACTGTATTTCTTTTCGACTAACCGTGAGTTTCTGATACCATAATGTTACTTTTCTCTGTTTTATCAAAGTTGAAAGACAGGGATGACGATATGTTTTATACAAATATTTTAATATCATCACCCCACCTTAACGTTTATTATTCGTTGCTATTTGTTTTAGCTATAAAAAGTTGCTGCAGAAAACCTAACATCCACAATTATTTAGGAAAGTGATTAAGAAACGGAAATCATCATTCCTTTATGAATTTAAAATGAATATTTGAAATATAACGCTCCGTTTCTAAAGTTTATTCTAATTGAAGTGTCAGTTCTATTTTTGAACATTTTACGAGAATACCTTGATCATGGTGTGAGCCTTTAAAGTTGTTTTTATTTAAAAACATTGATAATATTCCTTCTTGTTTACATGGCAATCGAAAGTTATTTCGGACGTTTCCTTATATACACTGGTGATCATAGGAACATCGCAAATTGATTTTGTTACAATTGTATATACATAAGATGTGGATAGAATTCGTGTACAAAAATAGGTTCTCAGCTATAAAAAAACTATTTCGTGCTTAATAATGTTTTATCCATGTGGTATATCAAAATATATAAAACAGATATAGCATTGCAGCGTGGTGTATGGAAGATTGCCAGGAGGTGGTTTGGCAGAGACGGCGCGTATTCATCAAGTCAAGTACCCGCGACGCGCCACCACCCGGTAAAGTATTAAACCTCTGATTCCTGGGTCTTACTGCCTCACTCAGAGACGTTTGATGACTATTTAAAAAGTTCCTTAGTAGTCGTTAAAAGTTATGAGGGTTATAAGAGTTACTCACATTTAGTTATGTACAGTTATAACTATCTAGTACGGTCACACACCTCCATAAAAGATTAAAACTTGAAAAAAATTAAATCGACGAAAACGTTTATAACATTGAAACATAAATAAGCATGAATTTATGTTGTCCGCATCGAATATATTTGACGTGACAGGATCAAAATTAAAGTCATTAATCCAATAGCATTTCAATATCGGGAGCGAGGGACGCCGGGGATATAAATTGACGCGTGGCCCATTATCAAGCGAGAGGCACAAGCATTATGTATTGCAGCGGACACATTGCCAACGTTTTTAACAACCTAAGCCTCAAGCCGGACTTCCACTGGAAATTGGGAACGGATAATGAATAAAAGGTATCACGTATCACAGTTATAAATTTTCGATTAATTAGATAATTAAAAGTCTGTGTTTATAGTCAAATCCAGATAAAGTCTTACACTAATGACTGAGACTTCCCTGAAAAAATAAAATTAGAAAAAAATATATTTTTTAGTTTTGATTAAAAAGTTATTGGAACAAAAAATACATCTTCGTACTCCATGTAACAATTGCTTGTTTAAATTTTAATTAAAATAACAAATGTATTTATTATTAATAAGTTAGTTTCTAATCCACATATAATACTAAGACGCGTCCGGTAATAAAACTAATCTGTTACAGTCTTTACCACTCGAATGTACACGTTCTGAGAAATGTTTCCCAAACATTGACGTCAAAGTTAAATATTTAATACTACGTAGCACAAATAGTTTAGCTCAAATTAATTACAACACGGTTAATACGAATCCGTGTTTAACATTAAAAATATCACAATTGGAACCTGATAATGTTTTAAACTAGCAGCCGCCCACTACTTCGTCAGTGTAGTATTTAAAAAAATAATCAGGAGTAGCTAACTTACAGTAAATTTTACGTCAAAATCGGGCCAATAAATACGGATATGCATACAGACAGACAGAGTTTTTGTTATAGGTAAGTGGAATACATGATGTTCGCGTAATACACTTCCTTTTATATTACGTAGACACTCAAAGTTTAAAATTAAGAGAATTTATCAGTTTGTTACAAAAGTTTCTTAATAGCTGCTATAAAGTGGATCGTTTTGAATGTATAAAAGTCATTTGCAAGCCGTATCTTGTCGGCGAAGTATTTTTACCGCAGCAGGCCGGGGCAGCGTCCACGTTCTCGTGTCCTACATTATCGCCAAATTATTTTTGCAGTCGTTTAAAAATAATTTGGCGACATTAACATTGCCGAGTTAGATATTAAATATAAGCATTAAGAAATCTGTAGGCAATGACGTTGTCGTTGCTCCAGACGACGACAAAAATCCTGTGGGACCTCCTCGCCCAATGTTTAATTTTTTCAAATATTTCGGTTGCACGGAACTTTTAGGTATGGCGGGTAAAGGGGTGCGGGGGAAGGACGCGGTGACAGGTGCCGTTACGCCCTAGGCATAATCTGGTGCCGAAAGACACCGACCATAGTGACGTTCTCTCGGGTTACATAACGGCAGCCGGCGGTGAGGTAAGCGCCCGCTCGGGGGCGACTGGCGACGCGGCTGGACCGTCGCCAGGAAATGCCATCGTGTTGTTTACTTTCGTTCCTCCTCATTACGCACGTGTTACAAGACACAAATGTACCTTTGTTAATTGTTATAGCTATGGAAGATAATTTGCTTTCGAGGGATTTGTAGAAATCAAATGAGCTACATAATATTTTAATGTTTTCAGATCTTTAGATAGAAAGAGAAGAACGAGGCCCACCGGTGGTCCTACAATGAACTCAAGTATACTCAGTTTCACGACAAGCGAGATTAATGAAGTGAGAAAGCGAGAGAGAGGAGAAGGTAGTGTAGGGTACAAGGTACCTGCGTGTTCCTGGTGAAGCCGTAGCCGAGGAAGCGCTCGTCGTGCGCGGGCACGGCGTCCGCCGCCACATAGAACGGCTCGTACAGCAGCTCGAAGTTGGTCACATCATGGCTGACGTGCGCCTCCGAGGACTCGTTGCCGCCGCTCGCCTCCCACCTGCCGTCACCACACCACTACCTTAGCAGGGTCCAGATATACAAGCTGCAACGCTCTTCCACTGATTCTTTCCGACTAAAGTTACCGCATTATATTGCGTAACATGGAAGATCTCTAGTCACTCACCTGGAAAAATTTGAAGCGTACTGATTGTAAATGAACACTTTCCTATGAAAAGGTATCGCCAATTTATTCTTCGATAAGCGCAGCAATTCCGACTTGTTCGCCGGAAACTCCGCGACTCTCTTGTCCAGTTCGTACGTGGGCACGACGTACGCGCACAGCGGGCACCTGGGCGCCTTCGCCAGAAACGTATCTAGAGCCTCCGCCATGCCCTTGGAGGGCACAATGTCGACGTCGACCAGGAACACGTACGGCGTGTGGCAGTTCCTTCTCGCCAGGTTTCTCAGGTGGTTCTGGGGATAGGGATGGCGCGCTCGCCACGCCACCGTGTCCGCGCGGCGCTCCGCAGGCGGGAGTGGCTTCGCATCGCAGTCCCTCGCCCAGGAGGGGACGGCGCCCTGCGTGCCCGGCCTCTCGGCGGGCGTCGCCGCGTGGAGCACTAGCCGGCCGTAAATCTCCGGCCGACATCGGAAGAGCCACGTCGCGAACGCTCGGAGGAGTCTTAGTTCGTCTCCGGCCACGAAGACCGCCACAGACATCGGCCCGGACCAGTGCGCCGCTATCCTCATCAGCTCGTGCAGCCTCTCTATGGAGCTCTGCGTCGCCAGGCACACGCGCCTGTTGGCGGACACCTCGGCATACATGTCTCCGAGGGTGGCGTAGTCGAAGAGCCTGTAGGAGCGCGAGCCGTCCCAGCGGCCGAGGCGCAGGTCGAGGCGGGCGATGGGGTCGTCGTCGGCGGCGGCGCTGGGCGCGGTGTCGAGACAGGGCTCGCAGGCCGGCTCGGTGGGCGGCGGGGAGTGCGCGGTGGGCGCGGTGGGCGCGGGGTGCGAGGTGGGCCCGCTCTGGGCGCACGAGGGCTGCAACAGCCATATGTTAGCGGCCGCGTTGTATAACACCAGCGCGACGGCGACCACGCTGATGAAGCACCACTGGCAGCGCCAACGCCACTGAAACCGTCCCATGATATTTTAAAGTTAAGGAACAAATCGATAGGAAATTAAATGTAACGTATGAAAACCACACAGAGTCCTAGCAATTTTTCCATGATAATAAACTAAATGTGAGCACTAAGGGATACTCACGATCTTGTCTCTCCGGGACCGCGCCATCGCTCGCTGCAGAGTAATGTAGCGCATCTCATTCGATTGTTATTTCAGCATACTAACACTTTTCATACTGAAAGATACTCATCTGGAAGCGACACAATAACTATTTAAAACTATAACGGAAATTTGTCACATGTGACATCCCGCTCACTAGACGCAGGATACGAGCGGGAAGTATGAGAACGAGGTATACTCATTCTTCCCGCTTATCTGTTTGACCTTTAGATCCAAAAGAAAGGAGGGAGTTAATTTTTCAATTCTGTTTTTAATTTAAGCTTTACAAATATAGCTTTTTCTTACGGCGAGTCCCCACTGTCGTTGTATCTGTGTAACGAAAATGTTCCTCTCACTCCCTCTAAATAATAACAAGGTTTGTTCGTTTCAAAGATTTGTATCAACTCACCTGGAACTGTTTAAAATTGCGAGAATTTCCTAAAATATTACACTCAAATCAACTTCACGGGCAATAATTGTTCACTTTATTTTAATCCATGGTAGTCATTGAATAAACATTAATGTGCTGTTTTATTACAAATACTTTAAAACTTTTAGATAAATCTTCATTTCATTTATTCTTATTAGTATTATGTACAAGTTACATTACATTTTAGGTTATAACACTATAAAACCTCGCGAGACACGAAATCAATTAATAAATTGTCGTAATGTACATTTCAACTGTGCGAAAATAAACTTTAACGAAGACTTTAAGTTATTATTATATCCTTTTAATAAATTCTGAAGAAATAACTGCATTAAACACTAATAATAATAAAAATATATGGGAGTCGAGACCTAAAGTCTATTGCGCATGTCCGAAGGTCGGGCATGCGTGATACGCCCCCAGAACTTTACTGCAATCACCCATACCTAGTTAATCAAGCGTACATCAGCTATTGTCCAAATATCTCGCTATCAAAATAATAATGGCGTGTTCTGAAAAACGGGAAAATACGCCATGCCCACAGGCATATGTGCGTTTATGTTAAAACAATTCACCGAGTACGCGCCTCGGTTAACTTTATTATTAAGAGGTAGGAAGCGAAATGAAAAAAATGTAAGATTCTTTTGACTCCCACATTCTGATGTGATCTTGGTGGAGCCACCTCCTACTTCCAAGAGATACTGCCTACTCTACCAGCGTCAATTTAAATATCTCGTTTGTAAATGCATTCACGGACATCCCATACGTATTTCCAGTATGATTCTTTTTATATTTTCTTCTCACACCAAAATAAGATAAACTCCTTTTTGGAGAAGATTCTTTTTATAGCAAAACACATAGCAACACCATACAGATAGTTTCAGAACGTGCATTATTGGAATGGCAACAAATCTATCAAACACGAACGTCAATGTCATGTCAAATTGTCAATGTCATTTGAATTGCCCGCATGTTTATGCATGTTTTTTATTTTATAAAATTGCTTTTTTCTGAAATGATTTGTTAAAAAAGTACAAGAAAATGTTTAAAGTGCCAGATTGGGAAGAAGATACCAAAAAACCTAGCCTTAGCTATGTAAATAATATAAAGGTAAATTAATTCTTTCACGTAAAATTATCATTTGAAAATACTAAAGAAATAAATGAAATAAATCGAAACTAAATTTTCACAATACTTAAAAACCATAACCATGTGGATAAATAATTATTGTAGTAGTTTGCAAAAAATCTACAGGTACTTAACTTAAAATTCCCCAATTGGTAATACTCAACCAATGGAATGTGTATGCTAAATTTATTACAATTTTTTTACAGTTAATGTAAAACATAATATGGTGGCATATACTGAACATATGTTTTAATAGCAGGCACTTTGTATAAGTAGACTTAATTTCACTTTTCAGAAACAGAAAAGGACCAAGAAAAAGAAAGTAGAAGTTAGCAAAAACGATGCCCCCGCAAAGATTACTGTAGAGAATAAAGTTGTAAAAAATGCAGACTTACTTCCAAATGGTAATAATAAAACAGAAACCATTAAAATTAAAAGCAATATTCATGATAAACACACTTTGGGAAACAAACTAAATAAGAAGAAGAAAAAGCAAATAAAAACAAATAAATTGTCTCAATCAATTAAAAACATTGAAATGACTGTACAAAATTGTAATACTGAGAACAAAAAGAAAAATAAACTCACAAAAAAGAAGAAACCTTCTGAATCAGATAATGTTGATGAAATGCAAATAAAAAATGGTGACGATGACAAATTAGATGAAATTCTGCTTGATGCACGGAAAAGGAAATTTAATGATAAGTTTAATAATGAAGACAGTGAAGAAATAATGTTCAGTCAAGAAACAAGTAAAAAAACAAAGCCAGAAAATACCCAAAATTCTACAACTAAAAAGGTCATAAATGGTGTTCATACAATATCCAAACCTAATCAAGTTAATAGAACATTTAACAAAAAGAAAGAAATCATAAAATCAATGTTAAACAAAGCCAGTCAAAGAAATCACATAGAAGTCAACGGGAACCAGCTCCGGGAAAGAATGCTGAATAGACTCAAAGGTATTTAGAATACAAATAGACTAAGTTTTAACATAGTATTTGGCTACTGGTTCTTAATAGTTCATGTGTTTCAGCTGCCCAGTTCAGATATTTGAATGAGAAGTTGTACACATCAAGTGGAGGGGAAGCTCAGAGCCTGTTCCAAGAGGACCCTCTGGCCTTCCACACATACCACCAGGGCTACCAGCAGCAGGTCAAGAAGTGGCCTGTCAAACCGCTCGATGTTATTGTAAAGAAAATACTTGAAATGTAAGCTCTTAATTAATCATAATGATGTGTTAAACTATTGAAATAGGTATAAGAAACAAAGAGGGTTGTCAGGCACACAACAAATGGTAATCTGTAGTCTCTGCTTAACCCTGGGTTACAAGCGTGAGTTATTTCAAATAGGTTAGTGTTGTTTTAAATAGATGCCTTTCAGGAATTGTTAAAACAATTTAGAGTGTGGTAACAAGACAACCACAGCTGTAGATTTTAAAAAAGAGCGTCGGTGGCTCAGGGGTCAAGCACTTGACTTGCAATCTGCAGGTCCTGGGTTCGAATCCCACCATGTACCAATGTGTTTTTACTATTTACATATACATATACATATCCAACGTTCTTACGGTGAAGGAAAACATCGTGATGCAACCTACATGTATCTGAGAAGAAATTCAAAGATATGTGTGAAGTCAACCAACCCGCACTGGGCCAGTGTGCTTGACTATGACTAATTACCCTTAACTTGGGGAGGCTTCGAACCCCTCGGTTAGTTAGGTTAATGTGGTTGCCAATAGTGAAATCAAATTTGTATGGATTTGACAATTACTTTAGATATGTGACATATATTGATATTTCGCTTATAGAATGTGGAATATAGATATGGGTAGGGGGGTGTATGGGGATGCGGGAGGAGGGTACTTGATATATTGTAGATTGTATGTTTGCAGGCCTAAGAGTCACTTGGTAGCGGACATGGGGTGCGGTGAGGCTGCACTGTGTGCGCGGGTGCCGCAGCGCGTGCGCTCCTTCGACCTGGTGGCGGCGCACGAGGGCGTGGAGGCGTGCGACATGGCGCACACGCCCCTGCCTGCCGCCAGTGTCGATGTGGCGGTCTACTGCCTCGCACTCATGGGCACCGACCTCACGCAGTACCTGCTCGAAGCCAACAGGGTACTGAAAGTCGGGTGAGTTGTGCTGCTTTTTACTAGCTGTCGCCTGTGTCTTCGTCCGCGCGAAGTCAAAAAAAAAGACTTTAACCAAATTTCTGTTTAGCAGTACTGGAGATACATTCTAACAAGTAATCCATCCATCCATTCGCATTTATAATATCAGTAAGATATATTGTGCAGGGGTCACCTGCTGATCGCGGAGGTGGAGAGCAGGTTCGAGGAGGCGGAGGGGTTCGCGCGGGAGGTGCAGCGGCTGGGGTTCAAGCTGCGCGAGCTGGACAAGCAGCACCAGGTGTTCTTCTTCTTCCACTTCAGCAAGGTGCAGCAGCCGCCGGTCAAGAAGTCCAAGCTGCCGCACCTCACCCTCAAACCTTGCTTGTATAAGAAAAGATGAAATAAAATATTATCATGTTACATCAGGTTTTTTTACGAATCCCTACACTAAAATGATTTCCTTTCCAACCAGTAATATTTACATTTACATGAAAAAGGATACATATATACATTCAGTGCACACCGGTAGAACACAATTTTATTAGTTAGCTGTGGCTGTACTTTGCCGGGAGTAAATAACTTCTTATAGGAATAAATGGACACTTATTTTTATAATACATTTATTTCATCATATTTTGACCTTAAGAAAATACATCTCACTTTAGTGTTATGATTACATACAAAATAATGGATTTTTGAAATTCATTTAATGTGTTTTAATATGTTATCACATCGAGTGCCATCACCACGTCCCAAGAGTTACCAAGTTAAAATGATGCGGGGCACTGAATCAACTCAACATTTAATTAATAACTATATAATTTGTACTATACAATTCAAATTAGTAACTATAAAATAATATAATTATCAACTAGTCTTCAACTCGTCCATGACTTCCTCCGCCTCAGCGCGCAAATTCTCCACCTTCTCTATCAGCATCATCTGACAAATTAACATCTCATCAGATATGTCACGTTACAAATTATTTGAATGCCTATAATTTTGTTTTGTATGCGGCGCCACCTGGCGTTCATAAGACAGCATAAAAATAGATGCGTGTGGTACCCTGGCCGCGCTGATGAGGTGCGTGGCGGCGGTGCGGGACAGGTGCTCGATGCGAGAGACCAGCTCCTCGGCGCTGGACTTGGCCAGCTCCTCCACGCGCTTGTAGCCCGCCCGCAGCAGCTGCCTCGCCCGCGCCTACACGACACTACTGGTTATACGAGATGGAGTCAACAAGTTGTGTCTATATGTATATATATATAAATCACCTTCCGCACGTTAGGCAGCTCCATGAACTGCTGCAGCTGAGGCGCGGCGCAGTGCTGCAGGCGCGGAGCCAGCTCCGCCAGCAGCGCTCTCCACGCCCACACCGCCCCGCCCCCACTGCCCTTAGGCCCGCCCCCACCGCCCTCCGCCTCGCAGAGCGCCTCGCACAGGCGCGCGCAGCACGAACTCTGCGCGGTGGCCGCCTGCAGCGCCGCCTGCACCGCGCCACGCGACACACAGTACCTGACAACCATCACATTAAGAAATATGATCATTTGTTTATGATTAACCCTTTTAATAAGTATACATTTACTCAGTACGTACTTATCGGCTACCTCCGCGAACGGCACCTGCTTCCACAGATCGTACAGCATCATCGCCACGTAGAACCGGTTCAGAACCTGCTCCGGTACGTCCTGCGTGGATTTCATTAATAGTGTGGATGTAGATTTAATTTTGACACTAAATTGGTAGCAACAAACACGAGCGAGTAGAAATACTTACAGTGATGGGCTTGCCGGTGATCATTTTGACTGCGACCTTGTCGGTGATGGCCAGCGCCCGCGCCACGCGCACGCCCTCCGCCCCCAGCTTGGTGTACTGCACACCGACATATCCGGACATCATAAAATACAAGCGATTGTATCAAAGTGAGCAATGACCAGTATGTATGTATGTATCGTGACCAGGTTGTGGTAGTGCCTGTAGTCGGGGCGCAGCGCGGGCTCGTGCGGCGCCACCAGGTACAGCAGGTGCAGCGCGCCCCCCAGCACCACGCCCTCCCCGGCCGTCTCCAGGTCAGACAGGAACTGCCGCGCCATACCCAACTCCATACATCCTGCAGACAACCACATCACCACCCTCTCGTCGCACAAATCTCTTGAAATATTCAGATAGTGATAGAACTAATTGTTAGTACCGATGATGGCGGCCCTGCCGAGCTTGCTGACCGCCAGCTCGGTGTCCTCGTGGATGGGGCGGGTGTCATCGTGCGCTCCGCCCCGCCCCCCGCGCACCTCCAGCGCCCCGCCCCGCACCAGCGACCTGATGCCCGCGTCGCAGCACTCCTCCAAATCTATACTGGAAAGATATGACCGCAATCATTTTAAATGCCGTTATGCAAATAAACACTAAAGAAATTTCGTCCATACAAAAAAATTATTGTTTCGAAAAACGTCATCTCGTGAAATATTAGGTAACCAAAATAACTTTGCGTGTTCTTTTTTGTTTATAAAATAAAAAGTGTGACGTAATGTACTTGTGATGATACCGACGTGTCCCTGTGCGTGACGGCGAGCAGGCTGTGGCGCAGCAGGCGGACCAGGTCGGCGCGGCGCGGGGCCAGCCGCAGCGCGGCGCCGCTCAGCAGCAGCGCCGGCACCGCCCCGCACAGCACGCTGCGCGCCCCCGGCATGCGCCCGCCCACCACGCCCCGCACCCACGACCACTCCCGCTCGCCGCAGATCAGTATGCTCTCACCTACGACGACACGCACACACATTCATCATAAAATAGTTGATTTGATAAAGTGAGCAGTGAGCGCACTGAATAGCACTGACCGGCGTCGGAGACCCCCGCCCGGCCCGCGCGCCCCGCCATCTGTCGGTAGGCGGGCAGCGTGAGGGGGGCGCGGCCGAGGCGGGGCGCGCGCACTATGACGCGCCGCGCCGGCAGGTTCACCCCGGCCGCCAGCGTCGACGTGCAGCACAACACTGAGATCACCCCGCTCCTGGTTCAACGTTCAACGATCGGTTACATTATACGACCTACGTTAACTTTTACAGGTCATAACGGAGAGACGAGTCGTTTCAACCTGAAAGCGTTTTCGAGCAGGCTCCTCTCGTCGCTGGAGAGTCCGGCGTGGTGGTAGGCGAGGCCGCAGCGCGCCGCCGCAGCCAGCGGGCCCGCGCCCTCGCCCGCCAGCGCCCGCGCCAGCTCCGCACGCTCCGACACGCGGTGCGACAACATCTCCCTGCACAACCAACCCACACACTCAACCTTCGCAAAAAGATAGAGTTCTCCAAAACTGACATTCATAAGATTACTTTATCTTAAATGAAACAAGAATGTTAGTAAATAATGTGTGCTCACTTCCTCTGCATCTTGCAGAGCAGCATGGCGACGCTCTCGGCGTTGTGCTGTGTGGGACAGAAGATCAGGCAGCTGGCGGCGGGCACCACCTCCGCCACCAGCCCGCCCAGCCGGTCCGGGTCCAGCCGCGACGCCGCACTTGTGTACTGCACGCATACACAACACTCATTATACTCTACACTCAGAGACGTTGATTGGTATCCAAGAGAGCCTCTTAACATAACAGTATGAATCCATCTAACAGAATTAATATTGAAAATAATATTTCAAGCCTAGATACAATAGCCAATAAATAATGTCAAAGTAGACATTCTCACATCATAATGAAGCTGCCTCTCGGGTACAGTCTCCATGCCCGCAGGTCCCCACACGATCCTATGCAGCATATCCCCGATCTTGACATACTCGGTCAGCTCCACGGGGCGGAACTCTCGCTGGTACACCGCAGCCTCCAGGAATTCCGCTATCTCCTCCAGGTTGCCTATAGTCGCACTCATGCCTACTATTTGGATGTTACCTAGAGAAATAAAGTTTTTTTTTTATCTAAATTCATTAATGTGATGCTACATATAATATAGCCCTCTTTTTTCTATATCAAATTGATAAAGTAAATACAGTCAGACTTATAATAGAAGTAATTTATGATGAAAACTTACGATTTGCAAACTTAACAATTGTCAATAAAGACTCTAATGTGGCGCCGCGACCTTCCTCTCCTATCAGATGCAGTTCATCCACCTACATACAAATTACATACATCAGTGTCGGATAAAAGCACTGTGAAGTTATTAAAATAGTAACATTTAGAATACATTCATCACTTTATTTATCCACAAAATTATTGATTTGTAACATATGTTTTTTACATCTATCTTTAGTTTGAACTTAAATGAACTAGATTTAAAATAATATAAATTACATCACTGTACTTACCACAATTAGACCAATTTCATGTAATCTATCCAACTCAATAAGACTTCTTACTAAAGCTAAGCCTTTTTCAATTGTAGCTATATAAATGCTGTTCTTTGCTCTGCGTTTCTTTGGTGGTATATGGCCCTTACCCGCTGCATATTCCTCTACTAAAAAATTTAATTGAAGCGCAAATGGTGATAAAGACCATATCTGAAATGACAAATAACTTTTGAGCAAAGTAGTCAACTTATTTCTATAGGTGATTGTGCTATATTTCATCCTGATTTGTTCAGTCATCATAGAGTTAAAAAGTAATGGACATCCATACACTCATATTCAAACTTTTGCATTTTTAGTAAGATAAGCAATAAATAACCTTTTCTTGTACAATAGCAACAAATGGCAAAATAAAGAGCACATTGTGTTTTCTATTAATAACTTCCCGTAACATTAGAATTTCCGCTACAAGTGTTTTGCCTCCACTTGTTGGCAACGCATAAATCAAATTGTTTCGATTCTGAATGGCGTCTAAGTTTAGACATTCCTCCTGCCAATCTGTAACACAAACATACAAGTTGTGCATCCATCTTGACCTAAATACTATAATTATTGCGGTAAAGCTCAGCTGTTACATTTTATTTACAGAAGTAACGTAATAAGAGAATTATTTGTTAGAAATCTTGTTTAAACTATATTTTATAAAAATTATGATATGGCATGTGCAATAATAGATCAATTTTAATAAAGATAGTGACAATACCGTAGAAAATGATTATGGAGTAGAGGTTATTGATATTTCTGCATTCTGTCTAAGAGCTTTCATAGCTCCATTTTATAGGTAGTTATTAAATGAAAACTATCTAAAGCACAATTGTCTTCATAAAGGTATTTTTAGTAACAATTTACTTACCATATAATTTTTCTATATTTCTATATGTTTTAAATAGACCTTTAACAACCATAGGCAACTGATAGAAATGTTCTTTAAATACTTCATTATTTTTAGATTTACTATTAGATTCCGATTGTGTAAAGTGGTCAGGAATATCCAAGAGGAAAGAGTCTTTTGTTTCAAAACAGTTGTCTATATCTTTGATAATGCTAATTGATTGATTTATCGCTTCAAATCCCTCTGCAATTTCATC